CAGATAGGAACTAGGTAGCCTGATGGCAGTTCCCAATTAACCCTGTATGTGTGCGTCTTACTAGACGTGGATATCTTCCGGCCCTTATTTGTGTTTCCCTTATAGTAGAAGCAGGAGAGGCTGGCAACTTTCATTAAGCGAACTAGCTGAGTAAATAGATGATGCAAAGTTTCACCCTGCATGACCTACCCTATTTTGTAACGTAGCTTTCCTGATCAGAAGAAATATACGGTAAGAGTATATATAGACAGCGCTCCATCAATGCAGTGTCTGTTATCAATAACTTAATGTTAAACTCAGAACAGTTCAGCCACAGACCTATTCTGTAATTAATTGCAGATGGCCATAGATAAAAAAAATTCAGCTTCCTTCAAAGAAGAAGAAAAACAAGCAATAATTAGAGAATATGGAAGTCCCAATCTTCTGAAGCGAAGGAGGTGGTGGAAAAAAAGATGGAGTCAAAGGGGATCGAACCCTTGACCTCTCGCAGTTTCGCTATAGGTATGCAAAGCGAGCGCTCTACCACTGAGCTATAACCCCAGTTCGCTGATATTTTTGATTACATAATGTCAAATATACCACCATGTTTCATGCAAGAAGAAAGTTTCTATATCAGGTTGAACTACCTATAATCGCCTAGTCATTCAAAAATGTAGTGACAAGCTTTTATTGTAAGTTATATAGTCTACTTTGCTATATATATGTGTAGCTTAAATAGAGACCAACCAGGTTTCTCTAGCTATACAGTAAGTCATGAAGCGATCAACTAAGTAAGCAGTATATCACGCAGACATATCTTGTGTAAGCCCGATTTGATACGTACAAGTTCCCTTTTCTGCCACATAATTGTAGGATAGCGTTCTTGTTCCTGAACCTTATTCAGAGAAATTTAATATAACTTTAGTGGCTATTTCCGGTTGAATTGTCTGAGCGCAGTAATATTTAGCTACTGCTTACCCCCGGTATGACCAATGTCCCCTTCTAGCTTAGCATCATCCCTCGCAATGCACGTGTTCTACCTGTCTAATATTTTATCCAAAGTCCAAAATACGGAAAACTACTATAGGTTTAGTCTATATATGAGGGGTTATCCCTTGTTTTTAGTTGAGCAGCTGAAGGCACTTCCCGCTATAAAGCATTATCACCAGCTTATCAAATTGGCTGCTGATAACCCTTGACCGGGACTCTACGATAACAGGCACGTATGTGAAAAGAACTACTCTCATAACCAAAGCTTCATTAAAATATTAATATGACTGAACACATAATCCAAAATCGCTTTGACAATACTCATAGGAACATCCCGTCACAGTGGATTCTAAACCCACTTTCCAAAACTGAACTTCTCACAATCCCAGATCTCGAAGGACCATCTTCACTTTCTCAACTCCTCTGAGCGCTTTTGCTAAGCGCAAGACCACTTCTCATCTTCCCCAGCCCAGAGAAAATATGTCTCGGACGAGTTACTCTCAATGCCATCCTGTTGCCCATAGCTCTCATTCAAACTCACACCACCCTCTCCCTCGTCAACCTCAGCCTCAAGAAGAAATTGAACTGCACCCATGAGCAACGCATAGTTGGTCTCCTGGAATGGACGTTTATCACGCCACGGATATGGGTTGTCGGCTATGTGAGATGCGAGTGGTCTGAAGACGGGCTCGTCGAGGAAGGCGAGGGCGTCGGTTGGCGCTGAGTCTGGAGTCTGCACTGATGCAGGGGTGCTAATCATGTAGATGGGATGCGCTACTAGAGTCCTGAAATATAACATGACTGTAGTGAATAGCAGGAGGAGAGTGAATGATAGGTTGCGGAAATCCATGGTGGTGGATGGGATGAGCTTTGAGACCAACATTGTTGATAAGTTGTGGTAGATGTGGTAGAGGAAGAGAGGTGGGTAGGTGAATGGATGGGAGAATGAGGATGAAGGACGTGAAACGTCTGAGTTGAAAGGTAGAGGTATCTTTATAGTTGTCCTTGACTTGTTAAGTTGTATTCTACTAACCCTTCTCAGAAGCGGAGTCGATGTGTCTGTTTTCTGGATGGGCTTTGAAGGCGGCATGTACCGTAGTATTCTCGGCAATGCCAAATTCGATGTATACAGAGTGCAGATATGTGGATTTTGTTGCTTTCGGTATATTGTACAAAACATAACCTTGCATGTGAGTTGCTGCTGCAAAGATCCAACACACCGGAGACATTTGCACAGGGACCTGGATTATAAGGATGAAATAGAACTTTCCAACGCCAGACGGGAATATACAGTTTATTAAACTTCACCAGCCAAGGGTATCATAATCAGCTGCTTGAGACCATACTTTGGTTCAGCAAATTTAGGAAGTTTCCTGTTCATTCAGGTACTTTCGACAGGCATCCTTCAGCCTATTGATCCGCCGCTGCGTGTGCACAAACACCTCCCGATACATGTCAAGACTCTCCTGCACAACCTGCTGTCGTGTCCGCCTGCCGGCGCAAATTTCCCGCATGCGCAGCTCCATCTCCTTCCGAAGGAATGGTTTGCTCAGGGAAGGGCTATCCGGTATACCGGCGAAGACATTATCATATCCTTCTACCAGAGCAATGCCCAACCGGGTGGGGATCAGTTCTTTAACTGCGTTTCGACCGCTCCCACGCGAATGGACGGCAACGTATTGTCGTTCCTTAATTTTTGCAATATGCTCCGCCATGGTAGCATCCGTACCGATTCCATTGGCGTCCATCAGGCCAATAAGTTCCGGTTCGGTGAGGTAGTTCGGAGGTGTGGTTTTGCCGTCGAAAATCTTGGCTTCAGTGGGTTCAAACATTTCACCCATCTGGAAGTTTGGCAGTTGCTGACTACTCTCCCACTTGTCGTAGACGTAGACATCTAGATAATTCCGTTCGAGAACTAAGAGACCCTTGGCGTGGAAGAACTCGTCGCCGTATTGGATCTCGACTTCCGTCGACTGACCCTTGGCATCCTCGGAGCAGCAGGCAAGGAAGCGACGGACGACGAACTCGTAGACTTTCTTCTCGTCAGCCGTAAGAGCCGTGGGTGCGACCCAACAAACGGGATGTATAGGTGGGTGAGCTTGATCGTTGTGTCGACCTGATCGTGGAGTTTTGAATGCGCCGTCCAGCAGACTTCAGATGTTAGCAGTGCAGAAAGGCATGTCTGAAGGATGCTTACTGTCGAGCATATTGACCCCAGTTTCCGTCCGGTAGCTGCTTCTCAACGAGCTTTTTCAAGTCAATGCCCTTATCAAACTGGTCTGTTTCGGTACGTGGGTAACTGATGAAACCCTTCGTGTATAGGGCTTCCGCGACCTACACTGTGTGAGCCATTGCTCGAACATATGACATACGACACGGCTTACCTTCATGATTGTCTGACTGTCCATGCGAAGATATCTACTTCCCATCATCTGAAGGTCCACTGTTGTCAAAGGTAGAGGTCTCCATTTGCTGGTGGGCTTTTGGGTGACCTTGGTGACTTTGGCTTTCTTTGCCATGAGACACCGCTCGAGCATCACCGTCACCGCAGCTCTGTCAAAAAGATGAACACGTTTCCAGAGGAAATTGACCTTGATGTCGTCCCGGGTATGCATAACTTTGATTCCCCAAAAGGTCTCAGGTTTGAAGTTCTTGACGCGGAGATAACGATCAACTACAAATCCGAGTGTCGGGAATTGACAGGATCCTGGTCGGTTATTAGTAGTGCTCGTACAGGGAAGGATAGAACCATACCATAGCTTATAATAGTATCTTGAAGCGCTGCAGAAAGAGGTTTCAACTGAAGCGTTTGCAGACGAGTGAACGCCGCACCGATCCGGAGATCCAGTTCGATTCTGGCCGCGACAGCGTTTGCTTGGAGGTCATCGAGTTCGATCAGTGACCGAGCAGCATGCAGCACATGGCTGTTACCCAGAGATCAGCATTGTATTTCATTTGAAAGGGTGGTGATTCTCACGCCTTTTCTGTATTGCTGAACCTTGCCCGTTTGATGACAATGCGAGCGTTTCCTTCCTTTGCTTGCTTGCGGATTTCCGTTCCTATATGCTCACCTTCTCGATCACAGTCTGTCCAGATAAAGAGAGCCTTGCATCTCCGGGCTTGTTCCTGGATGTTTTTCGCAATGGCTACTTTATCCTGCCGCCAGGTATTAGCACGGGGTTCATACCAGACCTTCGTGGTGGTGCGCAGAAATACATACGTCAGCCACAGACTCGTGTACTGGAGCTTCGAAGAGGGCTGATGGGGGACATGACAGCCAAGTTCTATATTGGCGTTCAAAATCTAGACCAGTCAAGTGTCCAATGACGCTGGTCATGGTCACAGAGCAAGTGCCCCATGGGCCACCAAAATTGAAATCGAATACATAGTTTTTCACATATTGGTTCCCTCGGATGGCTATCTACAGTACAGCTACTTCAGCAACCGTAACCCTCAGGAGGTATTGGCAAGTCCCGGCACCGAGCCACTTACTGTTTGAAAGGAGCCGCCGGACAAATGCTGGGCCACGGCTTTAGCAATGGCCGGCTTTTCTGCCACGCATAGCACCCTTTGCGTTGTCATGGCAATTGCCTGAGTTGATCAGGAAGGCTAAGGTGTGCCCATGACCGATGCTCCTTTTCAGAGCGCAACCGAAACAAAGAGTGTTGATCTTTATGGCGAAGTGGACAAACTCACATACTAATCATCTACTTTGTCGCTGTAGACGCGAAAAAGACGCGAGTCACGGGTATGATAGGGTGCCTTTATGCCTGAAAATCTGCTTACTGCCTGAGGCTTAAATAGTGGCCCGAGCTCCCCATCACGGCCGGATTGGGACAAGTTTCAGGCCTGAATCAGGCATCCGCGGGCGGTTGCTCGGTCACGCTTCCCGGGCAGCTTGTTGTGGTAATTGTTTTGACTCCATCCACAACCCGGACTTGTCTTGCTTCCACTCACATGCGAGAAGCTTCCCTGTCACCCCAGCAGCAACCAGCTAACTAAAATCCTTTCCTTCAGTGCATCTGACCAAGATGGCGCTACCCCTCCCTGACGTCAAGTCTGTCGTGGACTGTGCTTCCTTCAGCCACACTGTCCTACCCTTCTTGTCGCAAATCACGGCGCTTCCCGAGCGACTGCAGCTTGCAGCCGCAGCCAAGGATGTGAACATCCTGAAGGACATTTACCTCTCCACGAATCCCTTCATCTCGGCCCTCTTCTTGAGTCTAGCTCTATCAGTTCTGTTTGTCATCGCTTCGGAGATCAACAGGAACTACTCCCAAGTTGATCGGCTCTGGAGTATCCTGCCGTCCATCTACAATGTGCACTTCGCTCTTTGGGCCCGCTTGTCGGGCCTCCAGACTCAGAGCTTGGATACTATCGCGGCTATCACCTTGATTTGGAGCGTGAGTTACCATGATTGTCTGTACATTATATCCGCCCCTGCTAACCTGCCCAGGCCCGCTTGACGTTCAACTACTGGCGCCGTGGTGGCTACTCAATCGGCTCGGAAGACTACCGTTGGCAGATCGTACGCTCCAAGGTCAACAACCGCTTTGTCTTCTTCATTTTCAACATCGTCTTCATCAGCCTGACGCAGTCCTTGCTCCTGCTTTTGATCACCGCCCCGACCTACAACTTCCTCCTTCTCTCCCGTCTGTCGGACCACAAGTCCTTCGAGGTTCCGGACCTTGTCTTCTCCCGGGTGGCCTTCTTCTTCATTATCATCGAGTACTTCGCCGATCAGCAGCAATGGAACTTCCAGTCTGCCAAGCACAACTACCAGCAGACTGCTCGCATCCCTGACCAGTACAAGGGCCGGTATGAGCCCGAGGATCTGGAGCGCGGGTTCGTCGTCAGTGGTCTCTGGTCCCTGTCTCGTCACCCGAATTTCCTCTGTGAGCAGGCCATCTGGCTCACTCTGTACCTCTGGAACTGCTACCGCACTGAATCCTACGTCCAGTGGACCGGCATTGGTGTCTTGGGCCTTCTGCTCATCTTCCAGGGTAGCGTTCGTCTCACCGAATCGATCAGCGCCGGCAAGTACCCTGAGTACAAGGAATACCAGGCTCGCGTGGGACGCTTCATTCCCCGTTTCTCGGTCAAGCCCAAGTACAAGAGCAGCAAGAAGAAGGCTCGCAAGGCTGTCACTGAGCAGCCCGAGAGCGAGCAGACTCACGAGGCGGACAAGAAGAGCCAGTGAGTTTGGGAGATACTTGATGTGCCGCTCACATTGATCTGCCTTTATTTCGGTTCTGGGTGTTTTTTATCTTCACTGGTCGCGGTTTCATTTGATATTTTCGAGTTATTTTGGAGTACATAATTATTGGTGTTGGATCTTCTGGAAAACATATATTATCCTGCTGTTTGCATATATATTTTGTCATGTTCGCTTTTGATATCCTTGTCGAATTTATGAAAAGTTCCATCACTGAAGAAGCACGCGGCGATTGGGCTGGCCCCTTGTGCTTGACTGACAGTACGCCTTCTAGTGTCTAAATTGCAAGCTCAAATCAGTCCTATCTATTAGTATAATAACTCCACACCTTACGACGTCCTACGATATCACTTGAGTCATAGTAAAATATAATTTGAACTCGCCTACCATCTATATTTGAAAACCAATATGAAATAACTACCTACTATACAGTACAATACAGTACACCGAACACTTTCTTCAAGAAAGCGAACGAGGAAAAAGAAAGGGAGAAGCCAGGCGGTGATGATAGAGATATCAAGTGACGGATGGTTGACCGCTGGGATAGATGTCCAAGAGGGATAGGGAAAGGAGTAGAGAAGTGGGGGAGGTAACTCCGGAGCAAGGTACCAAGCACGCAGGAAACACAGAAAAAGGGTCATAGTCCTAGTATTTATGGCGACAACTTGGAAGGTAACAAACAGCAGACGGATGGGATGCGAAAACAGAGGGAAATTGTTAGAAAGGAGATGCTCCGAGTTGACACGCACACACGAAAAATAAATAAGTACAAAACCCAAGCGAGGAAACGAGGAAGTAAGAAAGGACAACGATATATGATATGAAGAAGACAAGCATGCAAAAACCTCCGCCTCGCCGCACCTTTCGTCAGCCGTGAGTGATGATGTTCTTGGGAGAGAAGAATAGTATTCGAGGATTTCCAATGAGGATTTGCATCATCTATGGGGGAATAGGGGTGGAGTCGCGGCCGTCCTTGCCTTCAGTGGGTTCCGTGGGCTCAGGGGGAGCGATGGTGGCGCCGCCGCGGCCGTCGAAGTACTTGGCGAACTCGTTGGATTCAGGCCACTCTCTAGGGCCCAGAAGACGGATCATGTCATCGCGGCTGAGGACTTCCTTGGAGAGGAGTTCCTCGGCCACGATGCCGACTTCCTTCTTCTTCTTGGTCAGGAGGTCGCGGCACTGCTCGTGGGCTTGATCGATGATGCGGCGGACTTCAGCGTCGATATCCCGGGCTGTTTCCTCGGAGAAAGGCTTGTGCATCTGGCTCTTCGGGTCCTCCTCGTAGTAGATGTAGCGTAGCTTTGATGACATACCGAACTTCGTCACCATGGCGGTGGCCATCTGGGTGACCTTGTTGAAGTCGTCGCTGGCTCCGCTAGTCACTGTGTCGAAGTGCAGTTCCTCGCTGACACGTCCTCCCAGAGTCATGGCCATACGGTCCATGAGCTGGTTTCCGTTCATCAGGTAGGTGTCGCCGTTGGCAGGCAGATATTGGGCATAACCCAGAGCGCCTTGGCCACGGGGAATGATGGAAACCTTGAGAAGAGGATCAGCCCAGCGGAAGTACCATCCACAAATGGCATGTCCGGCCTCGTGGTAGGCCACAACGCGCTTTTCCTCGGGAGAAAGAACAAGAGACTTCTTCTCCAAGCCACCGATGACACGTTCAATGGCCTGCTCGAAGTGCTTCATGGTGACATGATCGGCGTTTTCACGGGCCGCTGTACAGAAGCTGGTTAGTATAGAACTGATGGAATTGGGAAGTTATTTCAGGAAATTGTGTACTTACCAACCAAAGCGGCTTCGTTGACGCAGTTTGCAATATCAGCACCAGCAAAACCGGGAGTCAAAGCAGAAAGTCTTCCTTGCAGGTATTCCATGTCCTCCTTCGTCACGATCTTCTTCAGGTGAACGCCAAAGATCTGCTTACGACCATCCATGGTAGGCCGGTCGATAGAGATGTGCCGATCAAATCGTCCAGGACGCATCAGAGCCTGATCGAGAACGTCGGGCCTGTTCGTACCAGCCAACACCACCACTTGCTCGGAAGTGTTGAAACCGTCCATTTCGGTCAGGATCTGGTTGAGGGTACTCTCACGCTCATCGTTGCCACCGCCGTAGTTCGACTTCGCTCTTGATTTACCAATAGCATCAATTTCATCGATGAAGATAATGCAGGGCGTCGACTTCCGCGCGTTGGCAAATAGATCACGAACTCGGGAAGGACCGACACCGACGAACATCTCGACAAACTCTGAACCACTGACACTGAAGAAGGGCACGCCGGATTCACCAGCCGTGGCCTTGGCAAGTAACGTCTTACCGGTACCCGGAGGACCCGAGAGGATCGCACCACGGGGAATCTTAGCACCAAGCTTCTGGAAGCGTTCTGGGTTCTTCAGGAAGCTGACGAATTCCATGATTTCCACCTTGGCTTCGTCCATACCGGCCACGTCGGAGAACTTGATCTTAATGTCGGTCTCTTGGTTGAAACGTTTGGCACGGCTCTTACCAATGCCAAAGATGCCACCTTGACCACCTCCGCTACCTGCACGCCTCGACAGGAAATACACACCCGCCAAGAGAAGAACCGTGGGACCGAAGCTTATGAGTGTCGCAGCCCAAGGGACTTCACCCTGGTAGTTGACAGGAATGCGTTCAGCACTAGGGACACCAAGTTCCTGCTGGGCCTCCTCCAATTTCCGCTCAAAGCCATCGACGGATCCAATGGTGAAGTAGTAGTAAAATCCAGGGTGAGCAGCAGGCGAATCGGGGTAGACTTGAGCCACCGCATCACGGTGAAGTTCGACCCGAACCCGGGTGTTGTTGATGACGGTCAGCCTCTCAACCAAGCCCCTGTCAAGGAAGTTTGCCCTGAACTCCTGCCATGTGATATCGCTGCTGTTCTCGCTCGGGTAGAAACTGCGGTAGATATAGTAACTGACAATCAAGCCCGCCCAGAAATATATGTTGTCGAGCTTGAAAACAACCATGTCTTTAGGGTCCGGCGGATTCTTGCCAAATGGGTTCTGGTCCTTCTGCTTCTTGTCTTGTCCTTGGTCCTTCTTCCCTTCCCGATCCTTTTCTCCCTCTTTCCCTGGTTGCTTTCCTTCCTCTGCATGTTTCTTCTCCAGTTCCTCGATTTCCTTCATCATTCGCTCGCTTTCGATCCGCGCTACGCCACGAGCGATCTCATCGAGGTAAGATGCCAGGTCGCGCATCAAACGCATATATGTCATGAGGGAGGCAGGACGCCCGGTGGCGATATGGTTATCGATGAATTCCTTCACCGGCGGAGGTAATCCGTTCCTCTCAACGTGCAGTTTCACGTCGTCGAGCATCTCATGTTGACTCCGTGGTGACCGTTCTTTCAAATGTGCGATGAATTCGTCTAAATGCTTCTGTTGTTCCTTGGTGAGCACATTCGTCTCTTCCGGCTTCTTCGGGTCTCCGCCGTTATTCCCGGGCCCGGTTGATGAGCCCGTGTTCTTGTTGTTGCCATTGTCGTTCGGGGGGTTCGGTCCACCGGAGGGCTGGGTAGCGAAGGTCCTGGCTCGGTGTGCGATGATCAGGGCTGACAGTCTTGACTGCGGAGCGTGTGCAGAGAGCGGCCTTGTGCGGTAAAGGCAGTCTGCGGCTCTCCTCGAATATCGAGCAAGGTTGCCAGGCCGCCGGAGCAGAGAGGCCATGGTCGAGGATGATGAGCCCGGAGGCTAAGGTAAAGGCGCGGCGGAGTTCTGAAAATTCAATGGCACCTCGAGGCTGATGCGGCCATAGAGGCTCTTCTTGAAACGGAGGTGGCGGGGAAGGTGGAAAGCTCTTGGGGGAGCTGAGGTCGCCTGTGAAGTTCGCTCACGCGCTTTCCCGCCTTCTTGCGTTTTTCGTCCTTCCGTTCGCCGGCTGACTCATCTGCCCACCGCCGCCGCCGGCCAGAACCCAAAGGAAGTCGGTGGACCTCAAACCCATCAGTAATCCTGGTTGTGCTTGGAAGAGTGCACAATTAGGTCGAGAACTTATGCTGATGTCACTCTTCATCTATCTGTCTGTGGTTTAGGGCATGGAAAGGGTAGATGCTGGAAGCGGGTGGTGGTGATGACGGTAGCAGCACCTGGTGGGGAATGCTGAGATTACGCACTAGATAGCCTACTAAAGTAGTGATGCCATAGGAGGGTCCTAATGCAAGTTACTCTTTACAATTCGAGTGCTCTTGCTAGGATTGTATAGGAGTAAAGCACTTGATAATGATCATTTGGTCCCAGAAGACCTATGAGCACTGTCCTCCAATCCACTAGCACTACACAACGAGTAATTCTATAGAGCACGTCTTTGTATGATTAAGTCAATATACCTGCAAAGAAAGCAATAATTTGGACATGAAAGTTCATCCCAGAGACCACTGGATACTTTTGGATAGGAAAAGCTTGAAACAACAGAACAAACCCAACTCCATCATAACCTCAAGGTATCGAACCCGACTACATAGCCGGGGAGAAAGAAACGTAAGAAACGCATAGCCCTTTAGTCGACATCCATCTCCTCCTGAGTAGTTCCATCCACCAACATTCTGGTCTTCTTCTTCTGTCTGAGACGCTCCTCTCCGTGCAGTCTGCTTGCCTTGGCAGTCTCGGCCACCAAGGGCTGTCCCTCTTCCCGCTCGCGGAGCTCCTTGCGAATGAGGTGCTCGCCCTCCATGACCACCTTGCGATCCGCCTCGCGCTTGCGGTCCCGCGCAAGCTTGCCTGCCAAACGACGCTTCGTGAACACACGCTCCCTGCGCTGCCGGATCTCCTCCACTCTCTCCATCGCCTTGATAGTCGCCGCAACCAGGTTTCTGTCGTACTTGACGGGGACGTTTCTCTTCTTGGCGAACTGGGACAGCACCAGCGACGAGTCGACAATCATCTCCTTGCCCTTGGCAGCGCGACCGGCCTTGGTCCACTTCACACGTCTCGGTTGCCGCTTAGCCTTGAAGTTCTGATGGGTGGTAAAAGTTAGCTTAAACCTGATAAGACTGGGCGGGGCTGGGGGACTTATCATTTGCTTCTGCAAAACCGGAAGGCCTTGGCGTCATTTCTAACAAACTGAATACCCTTGCTAGGGTAGACAGGCCTAGAGCAAAAGTGGCACGTTTCAACTCTGTCAGGTAGGTCAGCCGCAAGTTCTTACCGCTGGTCAAATTTCTCCCGGGATGAGCAGAGGCAAAATGCCGGGGCACGCACCTCATGTTGGGCTAGTTGTTCTGAGTATGTGAGCCCGAAAGCGGCGACTAGATGAAGTAAAAGGAAAACTCCGAAAAATGAGGTAAGAAGCCGCAAACAACTCCTCGATCCCACCGTCGTGTAAAGAAGATCTCCGATGTTCAGGACAGGAACCGCATCAAAAATTGAAGCGTGGAGCAACCGGCGCTAAACCACAACGGGTAATGCGGCGCCGCTCCGATTTTTTATCTGGACTTCCGCCTCTCCCCCAACGTCACTCCTTGGATATCCCTCCTGCTGTGTCCTACGACCCTCACTCCGTCTACTTCTGAATTAGTCACTCGACTGTTTCAAGATGTCTACCATTGCTATCGGTCTCGGTGTCGCTACTGCGGCCTTCCTGGTAAGTCCGACTTGGGAACTGGACTGTATCTGCATGAGGGATGACAGGAGGCTAATACATACTCTCATCTGCTAGGGTCGCGCCGGTCTTCTTGCCTACCGTCGCTCCAAGGGAGGTGTGAATGCCATGGGCAAGGCCTTCTACAAGGGGTAAGCCACACACTGTTGTGTTATGATTTACCGGCATCGATCACTAACTAGTATACAGAGGTTTCGAGCCGCGCATGAACCGCCGTGAAGCTGCCTTGATTCTCGAGCTTCCGTACGTTTCAACCCTTCAGACGCGTTATATTATTCGACTTCTAACCAAATATATAGGGAGCGTACCCTTAACAAGGACAAGGTCCGCAAGAAGCACCGCCAGCTCATGCTTCTCAACCACCCCGATCGTGGCGGCAGCCCCTACTTGGCGACCAAGATCAACGAGGCCAAGGAGTTCCTCGACAAACACACTTAAGGCTCTTCCAACGCGGATCCTCCACTGACGACTGTTCGGGGCGTTGTTGGATTGGGAGAGGAAACACGAACATGCTAGGGATGCTTTAGGTATCTTCTATTGTACAAGAGAGATTCTTCTTAGGGTGAGCATAGCGAGGCGTTGGTGGGATTTCTTTTTTCGAAGACGAAAGATATGTCTTTGTGTGCTCCTTGCGTGGGGCTTTGTACTATTGTCTACTATATCCTGATGAGATCGCCACTCCTGAATATATAACTGTCTGTTTGGTATTACGTCTTTCTTTCATTATACCTTCTGCTTGTTCTTCTTTGAAGGACTTACTGATTGGTCTGTTGGGTAAGTCTGAAGTATGCCATTATTCTGGAAATAACGGCGACATGATCATTGATCTCGCGTCAGTCCTTCGTCACTTGCTCAGAATTGTATGGCACTTGATGTGTAGAACCATCACAGGTCTTGACTCTATCAGGTGAATGAATGCCGGCAGGGATTGACAGTCCAAGCACTCACATGCCTATGCGCTAGACAACCAGATAGATAGCCAGATAGTATCTACGTTTCATCAGGCTCCTACAAAGCACTACTGCTTATGGGTCCAAGATTCACCCCTGAAATAGCTAGTTAGACACACGTCACTCAAGTTGGCAGCCTAAAACGCCCCCGATCTGAAGCGGGAAGATTTGAGCCAGATGGACGGCAATAGATAGAACCCCACCGATAGAGAAAGAAACATGGAGCAGGGGGGTTTAAACTGCCGCCGGACAGGGCAAAGTCCGAAAGACCGATGGGCGCCAGGAAATTCAGGAAAAGAGCCAGACTGCCAAGCCGAGACCGGCCGGGACGGACTGTTCGGAGAAAAAGCCATCCGTCACCTGCCCATTTTCATTCGTCCAGAAACGGAGCCCGGTTGGATCAGATTCCGTGCTGCTGGACTAGTCAACTCTGGGTCTTGAATAGAATCCTAGTACTCTGTCAGTACTGGGTAAGACTAGACTAGGACTGGGGAACCATGCGAGTCGTCACGGTAAGCTAGCTGTACTGGAGACTACAACATGGCTCATACTGAGTAGATCATTCCAAGGAGAGATTTTCACTTATCAGAATACGTGAATACGAAGCCGCAGTGATAACTGTCCCTGATCAGTAGTAGTTAACAGCATTAATTAAAAACCTCAAGCGACTCCAACACACTCTCAGCCGATCTTTGTAGATGATCCCTTAAGTCCGTCCGTAGCGCTACTTACCTCCGTTTCAGGGACAAACAAAGAGTATTGACTGGAACAGTATCGAAGCTTTGCTTACCTACTCGTTTTTTCATCCTTTTACCCTTTCTTACTCTTTTAGGGCAGACAAAGCCAGAAAGGCAGCAAAGCTGTTACGTGACCAGTTGAACCTTGAACCTTCGTTAGCTCGATGACTCCTCCAACTTTCATCCAGGAGCTGTGACTGACGATCGTGTTCATCTTTTCTTTTTTCCTTTCTTGTGGCATGCCCCCATTCTTTTCTGATGGATACTCGTTAAGTCTGTCTGACAGATCAGATCAAATTCCCTTCAGTCCCTCATTTTCCCCTCTTGTGAAGCTTTGACATCATCTCCGTTACATTTCTTTTCTTACCCCAATTTTTCAAAGTACATTTTTCGCCTTATCGTGCTAGACTCTCGCCACGTGCCTGTATCGGGGAAAGATTGGATTGATTGAGTAAGCCACACTTCTTCTCTCAGCCATTCCATCATTCATTCATTGCCTTACGGTCTAATTCCTCCTCCCCCCTTTGCCTTCGACTACTTTTCAATCATAATTTTTCCCCACCGACTACAGGCTCTAACCCCAGCTCACCCTAGTCGTTCCTTATCGGCATCTGGATTTTCGCGACACCTTCCCGCCCTAACGGCCGCTCCCTTCCATCTGCCCGTTGACGTCGTCGGGGACGAACCCCGCATCGCCCAAGACGCTCGAAGCATACCCGCTTGCACTGGGACTCCACTCCCTCACATAGGCAGGCTCCTATATTCTGCACCTCGCTGGATCCTCGCCCCCCCGTCACCATGGACGGCATCGGGGAAGCGCCCGATGGCATGGGCTTCGACATGCCAATGCTCATGAACCAACAGCAGCAATTCTACGGCGCCTATGGACCGGATGGTTCGCCGATGGCGTCCGCTCACCAGAATATGTCTTACCAGGATGAACAGTCAATGGGCGCCGGAGAAGATACCAATGATGCGAAGAGGCGAAGAATTGCAAGGGTGAGTCGCTAGTGATGCGCATGAAGTGTTTTCGGGGAGTTCAGGGCGCTGATTGTTCGCCGCATAGGCATGCGACATGTGCCGGAAGAAGAAAATCAAGTGTGATGGGAAAATGCCCAAGTGCTCGCACTGCATCAATTACAAGACAGATTGTGTGTTCACACAAGTCGAGAAGAAACGGAATCCGCCAAAGGGGTATGTACTCCGTCTGCTACCGGTCCCTGTGTTCTATCTCGCTGACGGGTTTGCTCTTGTATAGCGCCAAATATATTGAAGGATTGGAAAACCGGCTGGGAAGGATGGAGTCGCTGCTCCGACTTTCCGGATTACTGTCCGAAGACGATGGTGGAAAGACTGATTTGGGAACGCTGGAGAAACGCCTGGCCGATCGATCGCTGGCAAACGGTGGCATAAGCCGCCCTAAAAGTCCGAACAAATTCACTGCTCCTCAATCCAACGCTCAATCGCAACCGACTACTTCTTCGCATCATTCCACCCCCCGTGTTGAGTCTCAGTCTAGCCCGCGCACAGCTGCTACGTCGCCGGAATCACAGAAGGAATCAGAAACCGAGGTTGAGGGCTTGTCGGATATGATGTGCTCGTTAGTGACGAACAATTGCGGAGAAACGCGCTATATTGGTGAGTGCTTTTGGATGATCCCAGCATGGGCTGGCATTAATAAATGACAGGGTCCTCTTCGGGGTTCTCCATTTTCTCTCCCAAGGGTATCCAGTGGGTCAACGAGAAGACCGGCGACACTTCCTTCCAAGACATGATATCTTCCGCCTATATCGACGACAACAAGTGGATGTATTGGAAGCCCGAGATATTCAGCGACATCTTTGCCCGTCGCGTGTTCAAGCCATTGCCGCCCAAGGAAGAGGCTATGTCTCTCTTTCGAGACTTCTTTTCCAACTTTAACTGTATGTTCCCGCTCTTCCACGAGCCGACATTCATGCACTTGGTGGAACGCCAGTATTCTCGGGATCCGTACGAAGGTTCTGGCTGGTGGGCTAGTATCAACGTGGTCCTGGCGATCTCGCACCGACTTCGAGTTATGAGCAATCTAGTGCCGCAGGAAGAAGACAAGAAGGCTTGGCTATACCTGAAGAACGCTATGGCTGTTTTGACCGAGCTTACTATGCGAAACACGGATTTACTAAGCGTTCAGGCCCTACTCGGCATGGTAAGTGATCCACTTCAGAAGTACTTTTGATATAGTCTTAGTGCTCATCGATCCGTAGTCGCTTTTCTTGCAGGGGACACCAAACCCCCAGCCGTCCTTTTTTCTCGTTGCAGCTGCCATCCGACTTTCTCACAGTATTGGTCTGCACAAGCGGGGTTCTGGATTTGGCTTGAATCCAGTGGAGGTGGAACAGCGAAAGCGAGTGTTTTGGATTGCTTACCTTCTGGACAAAGAGTGAGTCAGATTCCATGTACCTGACCAACTCCCGTTTAACGTTCAAACAGTATCTGTCTTCGGTCCGGTCGCCCGCCTGTTCAAGATGATGATGACATGAACGTCGAGTTACCGAGTGATGACCCCCCGGACAACATCGGCAACGTCCCGTTATCGGACGGTACCAAATTCAACCTGTTCAGATCCATGTGCCGCTTTGCCATCATTGAAAGCCGAGTGTACAAGCGACTTTATTCCGCCAAAGCATCGAAGCAGTCTGACGGCGAGTTGTTGAACACTATTGGAGATCTTGATAAAGAGCTCGAAGAATGGAAGGATAGCATTCCTGTTGAACTCCGACCAGAAAACGAAATCAAGACCACCCACACGCCCCTTATCCTGCACGTTGTTGTGCTTCATTTTGCGTACTACAACTGCTTGACTACTATCCACCGCATGTCCGTACATCATGGCTACTGGACGAGCCGGTTATCCAATTATGCGATTCAAGGTCTGAACGCGAGACCGTTGAATCCCAGAGTATTCTTGTCGGCAGTTCTCTGTGTAACGGCTGCGAGAGCTTCTATTAATCTGATCAAATACATACCCCAAGGAGATTTCGCCTGTGTCTGGTGAGTACTGCGCCTGAATAGACTGCCGGCCCGAAACTGACAGGGAAAAGGTTGATACTTTATTATCCGGTTTCCTCTCTGGTCACCCTATTTGCTAATATTCTGCAAAATCCTAATGATGCGCGGGCTCGCTCCGACGTCAAGTTGATGAACGTGGTCGTCAACTTCCTGTCTACTCTCGTCTCCGACGAGTCGAACGGAAGTGTCAAGCGTATGCTTGCTCTTTGCGGTGAATTTGAACGCATCGCCCAGGTAGTTCTCGACAAAGCCGAAAGAGACAGCCACTCGAAGAAGAAACGCAAATCTGCTCCCGACGAACCGCGGCATGCGCCAGGGCACACAGCAGATGGGAATCGCCAGCCCGCTACACCAGCCGCGAAGCCAACAGATTCAGCACCGCCGCAACCTCCCACGACCGTTCCCTTCTCATCTCCCTCGTTCTCTAATAATCCAACTCAGCCCGCAGCCAACATCCCTAATGAGCCACGAAATTTCACCCCAGGCCAGCCGCTCTCTGGTGCGAACGGGTTCACCACAAATCTCCAGGACAGCATGCACGGTCTATCAGGCCTTGGTGGAGACTTTGAAATGCTCAGTCCAGGTAACCTGGAAGGCGTGAACTTCGGCGACCAAGCGCCCTTCACAGCCAGTCCCGATACCCCTCTAGCACCCTTCCAACAACCCTTCGTCCCACAAGACCTCTGGCAAATGCCAATGACAA